TTTAGCTCTTTGATCTATCCAGCTCTGACCTGCTTTTTGTATCTTCTGTTTTCTGCTTTCTGTTTGGGTTTGGTTGGATTTTATTATTATTATTATTGTAAATTTTCTTTGGCTTGCTTCTCTAGGTCTGTTCAGCATAAAACCTTTGGTCCCCGGACTCAGGTCTTTCTTCAGAAAGTCATCTTAGTAGTCTAGAGCTTTGTCTCAGCACTGTGACACGACATGTGCCTCAGTGCTTTGAAATGCTGTTCCTCAGTCTTCAGTGCATTTTTGCCTCAACACTTCAGTCTCTCTGCTCTGAAGCCCTTTCCTTGAATCTGCACTTCATTGATTGCTTTGCCATTCTTGAAACAACATACCTGTTTTTCAGGATGTCATCCACCTTGTATAGTGCCCAGGTTGCAAGCAGATATTCAGCATAGAAGAGCACACTTCCCACCTTCTGCCCGTATAGGCAGGGATACCAGATATCCCAAAATAGCACATGTCATCAAGTGTCATGGGGAATGTCCCACATTCCTCCATAAGGCAATCACAAAGAGATTCCCATGAAGAAAGTTGTGCTATGGAAAATGGCTTCCACCCTGGCAGAGTCTCTTTCCTTGGACAAACATCAAGCACTTGAGTAGATAGTGCATACCCTTATGTGCTTAAATTGGCATCAGGTGATAGGTGGTGATAGTGCAAAACCACTGCTTCAGGGCTCGTTGCCTGCAGATCCACTGGGCATCAGGCCTTTGGATTCCACCAGGAAGCTCAGAAAGAGCTCAGTGAGCTGCCGTAGACCAGAGAACCTCTTTGGGGAACAGAGATAGGTCTTAATACAAAAGTCCAATATGACAAAGACCAGCAATAATAAAGTTTACATACAAGAAAACATGATTCCTTTGTAGCAAAGTAGGGTTCAGTTTATCTTACCACACAGCGAGGAAGGGCTTAGTACATCTTTGCACACAGTACGGTTTAGCAGCAAGGTATTCTTAGTACACTCCCAGCAGTTCACTAGCAAAACTGCCTCTGAGTTCTTGCAGGCATTTAATAATTGATTCTAGAAAGCAGGACAGGAAGCCCTGAATCTGAAGCGTGAATGTAATTTCATTTATGAAAATGTTTTCAGTACTTTGGATGTTTGGACAAGCACTCTAGTTTCCCCTCTCCGCAAAATCTAAGAGGGCATTTGAGTTCTGTGTTGCTGCTGTCATGAGCACTTCTCTTTCCATTTGCAAGAGCCCAGTGAAAGTAACTGGAGAAAATATCTAACTTTTTCTTTTAACGACTTGATCCTGTTCCCCCTGTCAACAGAAGTACTACCACCAATGGCAGTGAGAGCAAGGACTGGTCCTTTGCCCAATGATTTCTCCACTTAATTTCAGTGTCTATTGTAGTTTGTGTGTGCAGCTGCATTTTTAAGGAACTTCTGGCTACAACCCCTCAGGGATGGCTTTGTGCCTCAGTCCTCTAGTCCTTTTACCTGTTTTTTGTTATGGTACTTCTGACTTTTAAGTTGACAACTGTAATAATGTTACTCCTTTACAGTATTCTTGATGGCCTTTAATGGCCATCACATGGTTTAGTGATTCTTACAAAGTAAATGGTATTCCCCTTACTCTTCTAACCAACCAAGAATTAGATGGAAAAGGATCTGCTTCTGTTTTAAAATATGTAAATTCACTGACATATGAGCAGACTTTATAGAAAAGGTGGAATAAATTGGTGGGTTGAGATAAGATTCTCTGTGCTGAAGCCCTCTTTCTTTTCCTCTGGACCCTGTCTTTTTATTGACTTTTGTCACTCATATTTTATTTTGTGTATAAAAATTAATTTTATTCTCTGTATCAAACTTCTACTGTGATGTTACATAATTTAAAAAAACCCAAACATAAAATAAGAATTTTGCCTTGTAGATGTAGGCAGAGTGGTCAGAGGAAAGGCTGTGTATGGGAACTTAGGGCCACGCTTCCTGACTTCCAAGTAGTTTTAATTATGTTCTAATGAGTCCCCCTGTTTTTAAGCATATGTATACTTCCAGCTTTAACACTCTATCTGGGAACATACTGTAAATGCATTGAATGCAAGGGATGATTACGGAACTCAAACATTCAGACCACTAATTTGCACTATATAAGGATTACAAAAACTTTGCTTGAAACGTTTCCTCTTGGCACATACTCAATTACAGTATTACAATTGAGTGGAAGTGTTTTCTCTTATGTACAAGAGGGTTAAAATAATCTCTCATTAAGGACTGCAGAGATGATCCCTAGCTATTGAGGTGCCCCTTCCCTTTTTTTTTTAAATAAGTTTATGCTTTAGTTATAACTAAGATCTATTTTTCTTTTGTGTTACCTAAGTGTCTTTCCTTGTCATGTATGGTGAAAGAACAAATTTGTGTAACATGCTTGAGCGCACGCTTGATTCATAAAGTTTGCTTTCATTATGCTTGGACATTGTCTTTGGGTTTTAGTCCATAATTCTAGGGTCTTCTCATTAGTGCGTCTTAGATCTGTCTTGGCAGTGAGAAGGCAGGAGGAAACGGCTCCAATATCATTTTGGCCAGTAAGTAGCATAAGAAAAAGATTAGATGATGGGGGGGAAAACAATGTCTGTTTCTCACCAAATGAAAGTTCTTAGCTAACCTATTTCTTCCTTTTCCTCATTCCTGGCAAAGCTAGTGAAACTGCAACACCATATCAGGACTCCTGGTGCGAAGTAGTTTAGCCTCCTACAGAGGAGGCAACTGCATTTAAACCTTGTACAGTTGCTTTTGAATGTGTAAGTGCTGAATATTTGTTACCCTGAGGGAATTCTATGAAATGGAAAGGGGAGGGTAAGAATTACTCTTTCTACCTTAAAGTTTTTTTTCACCAGTGGAGCAAATAAAAAATAGCTACTAGTAGAGGAGGAAGGGGAATATTCTGCCACTTTCTGTCCTGTACAAAACAGTTTCCATCCATATTCCAGGACATCATCAAAGGTTCTTAACTTCAGACAATCAAAACTCTCTTCCAGACCCTCCTCACATTCTCTCTTGATTTTTGTAACCTGTTCTTCTCTGCCTTGAGTGTGCGTGCTCTCTCTCTCACATCCATCCTATATAAAACATACCTGTTTAGATTATCTTTGTTGTTTGTTTATTGCTCTGATCATATCCTCTTCCTGTTTTTGGAATCTTTCCAGTGGTCCCATTTCACCTCCTCAAGTTTCTTTTCCTCACCTTCCATGCCTGCCCCTGCTTCCTAACTGTCTCTTATGTCACCCTCTGCCACATCCAGTTAGCAAATCATACCAGTCAGATATCTTTTGTCATCTTCACTCACAAAGGTCTCTGCTTCTTCTGTGCATACAAGATAGAATAGAACACTTTCTTAAAGGCCAATAATCTCTCCTGCAAGACCCACATGTATCACACTGTCTTTAAGAGATCACCCAATTAAGAAAGGCTAGGGTGCAGGGCAGATGAGAATCAATGACACTTGGCACATGAATATTTGATTATATTCCCTCCCCCTCTTTTGTATGACACTTGTTTTTTCAAATTGTGAGCCCATTTGGGCATGAATAAGTCTTCATTTTGGGTTTGTGTAGCACCTAGCATGATGTGACACTAGTGCACTTAATAAATATTTAAATTACAATGGCTAATCCAGCTTTTCATAGGGACCACATGCAGAATTTCAGTACCTATCCTAGCAGCTAAAACAGAATTCAGCACTGCAGTAGAAACCTCCATATGTGAATCCCCACTCCACCACTAGAGTTAGAACACCCAGTTGCAGGCAAGCATCCTATTCTGATGTTACGAGAGCTAAGGTAGACAGGAACTGGAGGCGGCCCAGCAGAAATAGTGTTTCAGTTCAAATACGTGTTTAGGGAATAGTTAAAAGCTATATTGATCAGGCAACTGAAAGATGTGTGGCCTGGAGCTGTGCAATGGTTTTTGAGGGATGAGTAGTGTACTTTATAGATTCAATCTGTAATGGCTGTGCTGCTCATACTATAAGAATACTTAGCACTTCTATACACTTTCCATCCAAAAATCTCCTAGCTTCTGTACAAAATGTTTTGGTTTTTTTTTAAAATTGGCTACCCTTGTACCAATTTGATTAACAGTGCTAATGAGTTATGCGTATAGCAGTATTTATTCTTCTGCATTAGAAGTGTTACCTGTTCTGATATTTTTCAGGACTCAGTAGGACTGTTATACAAACTGGACACATAGGATATGAAGTGTCCTCAACTACTATAAGTACTAATGTAATGTTGTCATATTTTAGGCATCATCTTCACGATGAAAAAGTTAAGTATAGTTAACTAATGGGAGTTAAAATCCTAGTGAAGATATGGTAGCTCCTAGTTTCCATATGGCCTGTCAGTGTAAACTAAAGATTTATTGTTTCTTCCTATCTCACCTGCTAATTCATGTGAAGACTATGCCCTAGGTTCAGTGAGGTAAGAGCCTACTTTCTTGCACAGTAAAAACAGATTGCAGAGGTGCTATCCCTTCCATCTTTGCTGGGATGTTTTGGACACATTCCATGCAGTGGGCGCAGGAAACTTATTTGGGGCCGTACATGAGCAAGACTGCACTTTGTGGAGGCAACTTCGGGGGCCTGCTTGCTATCTTGTTGCCGTGTGACGTTTGGCCCCGCTGGCATGAACTCTAAAAGATGCCAACCTTTTCCATGGGGAGCCAGCTGGCCTGCAGCTGGGGCATGAGTGTGGTGGCAGCTTTGTCCCCGCTCAGCCTCTGCTGGGTGGCAGGATGGGAATGTGCCCCTCTATTGCCCCAGCTGTGGGAGGGGGGACAGCCCAGAGGTCTATCAGGAGGAGGAGGAGGACGGCCTCCTCGCCTCTGGCTGCAGCCCCGGCCTAGAGAGCATCCTGAGCTCACGACCCGGCCCATCACCCCGAGCTGGCCACCTCAAGGCCTTCCTGACTGCGCCGGGGCGGAGCTAGGGCCTGGGCGTGGCCTGTGACCTCACACAAGGGGGCGGGTCGGGTCGCGTCGCGCTGGAAGCAGGCTGCAGCCGCTCGCGCGCATAGTCGCGCCCCTCGCCCGCGGTGGCTCGTGCAGCTCCTTGCGCACCTGCGTCGCCGCGCCCCCTCCCCCCGGGACCCGAGGCGGGCGGCGAGCGGCCGAGGCACCCCCCCAGTGGGGCGGCCGGGGTGCGGGTCTGGCGGGCGTGCGCGGGTCCCCGGCAGTTGGACCCTGCGGCGGCGGCGGCATGGCGGGGCTGAGGAGGCGAGGGGCCGGGCCGAGCAGCGGGAGTGCCGGCGACAAGGTGAGCGTGGGGGCGCGGCGTGGCGGGACAGGAGGAGGAGGCGCGAGGTGACTCTCTGCGTGGCCTCGGGCCGGCCGGCTCGCGCCCCCCCCCCCACCCCCGCCCCAAAATCGACATCCCCCTCGCTGCTGCGCCGCCTGGCAGCCACCGCGCCCCTTTCCCCGCCGGCCCTGATGGCTGCACCGGGAGGGAGGTGTGTGAAAGGGAAGGGGAAGGCCGGTGCAGAGACTGGTTCCTAAACCCCCTCTCCTTGCTCCCCCCCACATCACTCTCTCCTGGGGTGGGTGGAGGAAGAGGAGGAGATTTATCTCCACCCTAACCCCCCCTCCGTTATGAAATTGCTGTTCACTCATGACAGGGTCACACTCTCTAATTTGCCCCAGCTGGCACCTTTCCTTAAAGTCTGGGCGCTGCTGGTGGGGCGGGTAAGGGTTCCCTGCTCTTCCACAGTCCCCTCCCGCCTCTTTCCACACAGGCCCGAGAGGTTGAGAGTAGATTTAAAAGGAGAATATTCAGCTCCTTTCTGGTTCTCTCTCTACCTGCAGTCTTCATTCATTCTGGCGGATTGTTTCCTGCAGTTAATCGCGCCTCCCGCTTCAGTGCATAAAGTAGTTTGGGAGGCATAAACTGCAAATTCAGGGATCTGTTGACCTGGTATGTTGGGAAGGAAGAAAAACATTTACTGCTGAACCTGCCCTAGCTAAAGGTTGTCAGCTCTTCTATGGCAACTCTCTGTATTTTATGGTTTTATAACTCTGATAAACATTTACTTCTGGGCTCTAATGCGACTTACAGTAAAACATTTCTGTTGAGGAAAAAAGTTTTCAAAATACTGAGTATCTGTGTAGCAGGTTGTGTTCATTATATCGGCAACTCTTGCCCCTTTTCCCAAAAGATGCAGTTTTGTTCACCACTCTAAAACAGATTCAAAACCAGAATTATTATCATTATGACTAAAATTAAAAGGACACTCTAATTCTGAAAAACATAGATGTGTAAATGCGTTTTTGTCATTTAAAACCGCTTTGGATTTAAACATTCAGTGTTTGAAACCCAAACATCACAGCATTTTTGTAATATATGTGAACTAGAGAGTAAAACTGACTAGTGTTTTTGTTTTCACTTCAGTCACCTTGAACAATATTAGCAAGCAAATCATACAAACAAACAAACCTAACTCATTCAAAAAGAGTCAGTGTCAGGTAGTATAAACTGAAGGTATAAGCCAAGAAGAAAGCTAAATGAAGTAATGACTTACTGGGGATCTATAGCAATCTGCCCAAAAGGCTCTCTCTCATTTTTCTAAACATGCCCAATTCTTTCAGCCTTTTCCCATAGGTCATTTGTTTAAAAATAAACCTCTTATTTTTCTTGCTCTCATCTGGACTCCCTCTGGTTTGTCCACCTCTCTCATAAAGTGTAATGCTCAAAACTGGACACAGTGTTCCAGCTGGTTCCTCACCAGTGTCAAGCAGAAGGGAACAGTTACCTCCCATGTCTTAGGTACAACACTACTTTTTGTACTTCCAAGGGTATGTTTACACTACGGAATAAGGTCGAATTTATAGAAGTCGGTTTTTTAGAAATCGGTTTTATATATTCGAGTGTGTGTGTCCCCACAGAAAATGCTCTAAGTGCATTAAGTGCATTAACTCGGCGGAGTGCTTCCACAGTACCGAGGCTAGAGTCGACTTCCGGAGCGTTGCACTGTGGGTAGCTATCCCACAGTTCCCGCAGTCTCCGCTGCCCATTGGAATTCTGGGTTGAGATCCCAATGCCTGATGGGGCTAAAACATTGTCGCGGGTGGTTCTGGGTACATATCGTCAGGCCCCCGTTCCCTCCCTCCCTCCGTGAAAGCAAGGGCAGACAATCATTTCGCGCCTTTTTTCCTGAGTTACCTGTGCAGACGCCATACCACGGCAAGCATGGAGCCTGCTCAGGTAGCCGTCACCCTATGTCTCCTGGGTGCTGGCAGACGCGGTACGGCATTGCTACACAGTAGCAGCAACCCCTTGCCTTGTGGCAGCAGACGGTACAGTACGACTGGTAGCTGTCATCGTCATGTCCGAGGTGCTCCTGGCCACGTCGGCTGGGAGCGCCTGGGCAGACATGGGCGCAGGGACTAAATTTGGAGTGACTTGACCAGGTCATTCTCTTTAGTCCTGCAGTCAGTCCTATTGAACCGTCTTATGGTGAGCGGGCAGGCGATACGGACTGCTAGCAGTCGTACTGTACCATCTTCTGCCAAGCAGCCATGAGATGTGGATGGCATGCAGTCCTTCTGCACCGTCTGCTGCCAGTCAAAGATGTAAAAGATAGATGGAGTGGGTCAAAACAAGAAATAGACCAGATTTGTTTTGTACTCATTTGCCTCCTTCCCTGTCTAGGGGACTCATTCCTCTAGGTCACACTGCAGTCACTCACAGAGAAGGTGCAGCGAGGTAAATCTAGCCATGTATCAGAGGCCAGGCTAACCTCCTTGTTCCAATAAGAACGATAACTTAGGTGCACCATTTCTTATTGGAACCCTCCGTGAAGTCCTACCTGAAATACTCCTTGATGTAAAGACACCCCCTTTGTTGATTTTAGCTCCCTGAAGCCAACCCTGTAAGCCGTGTCGTCAGTCGCCCCTCCCTCCGTCAGAGCAACGGCAGACAATCGTTCCGCGCCTTTTTTCTGTGCGGACGCCATACCAAGGCAAGCATGGAGGCCGCTCAGCTCACTTTGGCAATTAGGAGCACATTAAACACCATAGGCATTATCCAGCAGTATATGCAGCACCAGAACCTGGCAAAGCGATACCGGGCGAGGAGGCGACGTCAGCGCGGTCACGTGAGTGATCAGAACATGGACACAGATTTCTCTGAAAGCATGGGCCCTGCCAATGCATGCATCATGGTGCTAATGGGGCAGGTTCATGCTGTGGAACGCCAATTCTGGGCTCGGGAAACAAGCACAGACTGGTGGGACTGCATAGTGTTGCAGGTCTGGGACTATTTCCAGTGGCTGCGAAACTTTTGCATGCGTAAGGGCACTTTCATGGAACTTTGTGACTTGCTTTCCCCTGCCCTGAGGCGCATGAATACCAAGATGAGAGCAGCCCTCACAGTTGAGAAGCGAGTGGCGATAGCCCCGTGGAAGCTTGCAATGCCAGACAGCTACCGGTCAGTTGGGAATCAATTTGGAGTGGGCAAATCTACTGTGGGGGCTGCTGTGATGCAAGTAGCCAACGCAATCAAAGATCTGCTGATATCAAGGGTAGTGACCCTGGGAAATGTGCAGGTCATAGTGGATGGCTTTGCTGCAATGGGATTCCCTAACTGTGGTGGGGCTATAGACGGAACCCATATCCCTATCTTGGCACCGGAGCACCAAGCCGCCGAGTACATAAACCGCAAGGGGTACTTTTCAATAGTGCTGCAAGCTCTGGTGGATCACAAGGGACGTTTCACCAACATCAATATGGGATGGCCGGGAAAGGTACATGACGCTCGCGTCTTCAGGAACTCTGGTCTGTTTCAAAAGCTGCAGGAAGGGACTTTATTCCCAGACCAGAAAATAACTGTTGGGGATGTTGAAATGCCTATATGTATCCTTGGGGACCCAGCCTACCCCTTAATGCCATGGCTCATGAAGCCGTACACAGGCAGCCTGGACAGTAGTCAGGAGCTGTTCAACTACAGGCTGAGCAAGTGCAGAATGGTGGTAGAATGTGCATTTGGATGTTTAAAGGCGCGCTGGCGCAGTTTACTGACTCGCTTAGACCTCAGCGACACCAGTATTCCCACTGTTATTACTGCTTGCTGTGTGCTCCACAATATCTGTGAGAGTAAGGGGGAGACGTTTATGGCGGGGTGGGAGGTTGAGGCAAATCGCCTAGCTGCTGGTTACGCGCAGCCAGACACCAGGGCGGTTAGAAGAGCACAGGAGGGTGCGGTACGCATCAGAGAAGCTTTGAAAACCAGTTTCATGACTGGCCAGGCTACGTTGTGAAAGTTCTGTTTGTTTCTCCTTGATGAAACCCCCCACCCCTTGGTTCACTCTACTTCCCTGTAAGCTAACCACCCGCCCCTCCTCCCTTCAATCACCGCTTGCAGAGGCAATAAAGTCATTGTTGCTTCACATTCATGCATTCTTTATTCATTCATCACACAAATAGGGGGATGACGACCAAGGTAGCCCAGGAGGGGTGGTGGAGGAGGGAAGGAAAATGCCACACAGCACTTGAAGCACAGCACTTTAAAAGTTTACAACTTTAAAATTTATTGAATGACAGCCTTCTTTTTTTTGGGCAATCCTCTGTGGTGGAGTGGCTGGTTGGCCGGAGGCCCCCCCACCGCGTTCTTGGGCGTCTGGGTGTGGAGGCTATGGAACTTGGGGAGGAGGGCGGTTGGTTACAGAGGGGCAGCAGTGGCAGTCTGTGCTCCAGCTGCCTTTGCTGCAGCTCAACCATACACTGGAGCATACTGGTTTGGTCCTGCAGCAGCCTCAGCATTGAATCCTGCCTCCTCTCATCACGCTGCCGCCACATTTGAGCTTCAGCCCTCTCTTCAGCCCGCCACTTACTCTCTTCAGCCCGCCACCTCTCCTCCCGGTCATTTTGTGCTTTCCTGCACTCTGACATTATTTGCCTCCATGCATTCGTCTGTGCTCTGTCAGTGTGGGAGGACAGTATGAGCTCGGAGAACATTTCGTCGCGAGTGCGTTTTTTTTTTCTTTTTCTTTCTAAGCTTCACTAGCCTCTGGGAAGGAGAAGATCCTGTGATCATTGAAACACATGCAGCTGGTGGAGGAGAAAAAAAGGACAGCGGTATTTAAAAAGACACATTTTATAAAACAGTGGCTACACTCTTTCAGGATAAACCTTGCTGTTAACATTACATACATAGCACATGTGCTTTCGTTACAAGGTCGCATTTTGCCTCCTCCCACCGCGTGACTACCCCCTCAACCTTCCCCCCTCCCTGTGGCTAACAGCAGGGAACATTTCTGTTTAGCC